ACTTTTCTGTGCTTAAGGCCACCTGCGTTAGCTTTTGAAACATCCTCTTTGTACAACAGGTATCTTAATTTAGCATCCTTATCTTGAAACGGACCAGTTATTTGCGGATTAGAATTAAGTCTGAGCTGTCGGTGTTCAGTGCCTCCCCTTAATACAAAATGCAAACCACACAAATAAAGCAACGTGTCTAGAAGTTGTTGGGGATTATCCACGCCAAGGATACCCTTATCATATAATGACGCTTCTTCATCTACCGATATCACATCAGCCTGCTTGCGCGTATTTGCACCGAGACCTTCAGTGGCCCTTTCTTTCATGACAGCATCTAACACTTGTCTAGCTCGAAGAAATTCGGGATCCATGAAGAAGTTTATACTAGATGATTTCTGATGACGATAATATCCCTGTATTGAGGAAAACAGGTCATAAATACTGTTGGACGGACATTTACCTCCGTCTTTTTTTTGGCCTCTGCAATGAAATATTGTAACGAAGTCGACAGTTCTGTTTTGTCCATGTGTACCAAATCCTTTTGCAAACAATTCGGAGGAATTCCTAAATTATCTGATATCGGACGTAAACGGCGCTCGGCTTGCCAACTATTGAAAGCATTATAACCCCATTTATATTTTTTGACTGAATTTTTCGGCACCGATTCCTCAATCTTGTTTTGAAGGGATTTTGCTGTCTCTGGTTGACCGTGTCTAAATTGACGACTTATACTAGTAATTTCCAAATCATTACCACTTGGTCTTAAATCAAAATAACTTAGAATATCACTTTCTTTTTCTTCACTTACTAGAGAATACGAACTTTGCGTAAGAAAAATCGGGTCCCACTCTAACAAATCTATACCATCCATGGTCGTTATGTGGATTTTCTTTTAATATAACTGGACAATGATTACACATTTTTATATCTTAATTAGTGAGTTTTATTTTAGTGAATTATTTTCACCTTATTTGCATATACATTATAATTTAAATGTTAGGCGTGGTTATAACCAAACTAATTTGAGCAGAATCTCCCACTTTAATGATCGGTAAAATAGGATAGAAATTTCTGCAAAATTGTAATAAACAGAATTGTTTTCGACGGTATATAAGTCAGATAATGCATATTTTAAGGTTTTTCTTGTCGTAGAACACACCTCGGGGTGTTCTACGACAAGAAAAACCTTAAAGTATGCATTATCTATAACGTATATAACTGCTAGTGTAAATTAAACATAGAGCACAACATGTAACTGATTTAAATATTTTGTGTGTACATACGATGAAACTAAACCAAAACGAAAGCATGAGTTACAATACATTGTACCATTGCAACTGTACACTAATTAGGATTCTTTTCTTCATATATTGATATTTTCCAACAGTGTACACGAATATTCATTTCGGATATTATGAAAGGCCTGGAAAGTTCTGCCATATAGTGTTTACGTCTATGAAAATATGTCACGCCAACCTTTTATTCTGGACAAATAAATACATGATGAAATCCATCTTAGACTAGATAAATCGAACACCTGATTTTCAACAGTTTACATGTAAAACAGCGGAGACAGGTTTATTGGTTGACGAATACATATGAATCAATATAAAAATATATATCATAATTTTTGGTTGAAAAACTCAAGACTAAACGAATGAACTAGGAAATCAGTATTCAGATAACATGCATTTATACGGAAAACATCTACTGATATATAGCGCAAGTGAGTAAAGTGTTTCATCCATCAACTCATGTTAACATTTAAATATTCAAACGCAGAAAGAGATTTTTAGGATAAATAATAATATAATGATGTTCATGTTTTGGGTATTCTACAGAGGGAAAGCACTACTATGTCATAATATAGAAATTGAAATAATGTGCATCATATACACTATAAAATCTTGTTTACGATTTACAAAGGACAAAGCTGATTTGTTTTTTACAATCGCAAAACCAAACACTCACCTAACCAAATGCACTATTAGTGTTTTTGTTTTAAGAGTTTGAATGCAGATACATAGTTATTGGATGATATAGGTACAATTAAGAATAACAAAATGGCGATGGTCAACATTTTGTGCCCTATTCTATCGGCAATAAATAGTATAGTAGGTAAAATAATTATGCTAGCTTTGTAGTGTAATTTTAACATTAAGTTAGTTTATCTGAAACGTTAACACATTTAAAATCGTTCTAGGGTAACGCATGACAACAAATTATACATGTTTTGTTTTCCGTCTTAAGCATTCCTATTTGTGCTTCAAACAAAGTAATGTCATTGTCATGTGGGCATAAATAAAAGCGAGATGGATTTGAAATATTAACGATGCCATTATGTTTTCTTGAATATTTAGCCAATTTTAACCAAAAATGATAAAGATGTATGGAAGAATTTGTACATATGATCCCTATTAGACATTTGCGGAAACTAGGTATATACCTAGGATTACACTTTAGATTTACAATTACAGTCGACGAAAAAAAAGGGGTCATCTCAAAATAAAAAAAAAAAAAATCGAAATACATAATAAAACTAAACGATTTTTTTTTATTATGTAAAAAATAAGTCCTTTCGACGACACACAAATTCACCGCTTATGGTCACAACAGATTTTTATCGCCACAAAGTCCACTAACTTTGTATTTTTTTATACGATGGCGTGTTCAACCTCTACTCTATAGTGTGTAATATGTCTTTTTAATTTTCTATACTTCCTCTGCATATTCTGGGGTTTGTTTTGTATAAGGTGTAAATATTTGGTGTCTGTTCAGATATATTTATCGCCTAGCAAACACAGCTCAGTTGGAAAAGGTAGTTCTTGTCCTATATTTCTCATCAACATACATTGCTGATGACAGAGAAATCTTTACGCAACATAACATATCCTGTCCTCGATCGATATCACAACTTGAATGTGAATGCAGTGGCAATGTCTTTGTCCTGAGAAATACTGTTCCTGTGGTTCTCTTATCGGCTGCTAAATTTCGGATCTTAGTCGATATCCAACGGAAGTTTTTACCACCACCTTGTAAGTTCTGCCAATCATCCAAAGAAGGTCAATAAATAAGACAGTATTATGTTTTTTAAATAGGTATACATGTATGTATTCCATCTTTGATAGTCGAAACGCTAACGTCAATTATATAAGAAAGTATATGATAAGACGGGTACGGTGATAACCATAATATAAAAGAAGAATTCTGTTTCTCGCGGAAAGCTTATGGTTTCGATCGGTTCTCTCTCTGAAGAGACTATTAGAATCGGCTACAATTTGAAGTAACGTTTCAGGAGTTTCACCTGTAAAAGGAATGTCGTTTGGTTTCAAAAGAAGCGAACACATCTCTCCCATTCCAAAAGTGTACAACATTACCTATAATTCTTTCCTTGATTGTAAAAAAAATGGTTTGGCGGTGGTCTAGCTAGGACTACCAGGGTTAGATTCAGATGATAGATGAAATGCATAAAATCTGGCGGAGTCTGCATCAAGGCAGTTAATGCTGCCGTTAATCTGTGTTCTTTATCTATAAAGAGGGGAAATGAAATAACTGCACGAAATACAATTTATATATTCATTTATTCATTTTAACGTATTAATAACTCCTCCGCTTTACAAAAGCGGATAATATATAGCAATTAAAGTTCGTCCGCTCATCCATCTTTTACACGATTACACTTTTGTAGTCGTAACTGCCCCCGAACCGACTTAATTAGTGTTTGAATTTTTTAACAACTTCTTCTCACCTGATATCCATTTGCACCTTTTATCCCTTCTAATCATCGGAATATTCTTGCGTATTAACTTTGTGTTGACATGAACACCGGCATAAGTGCACTCTGTAGTACAATTTTTCAAGAAAATTTCACCGTGGGATCATTATTATATCGTATGCGATCCAGTTGCAGCAAAATCCAGAGGAGGAGGCATCAAAAGAGCAGGAGATTGACCAACCTCAAGCTGCCAAGAAGCCATTTTTTACAGATATTTCTTAAAAAACCCGTTGTTTAACTATAGAAAACATCATAGGAGTTAGTCTATGATTTGGAACGACGATTTATATTTACACTTTGAAACGACCCAAGATTTAAATGCTATCTGTAAGTGTTATTGTAATCCTAATCGCAGGTGTATGACAGTTTCCGCAAATGTCTATTTATCCGATTATCATCATAGACAGAAATTGTTTTATTATGATTGACCAGTGTAAACAAAAACTTCTTCTCTGATATCTTGGTCATTGTGTAATGTTGGTTACATTGCAAACATAGTGGTATATAGTCCCAATTGAATCCTTATATACTATGAATTCCGTTATAAGACTTAACTGTATTTGCTATTTAAAAGTTTAAAACTCAATGTGATATATCTGTTCAAAAGACTACTAAGTGACAGAACATCATCTTTATAGCGGAAGATAAAGCTTAACGATAATTCTAGCTTCTTATTATTCTTCTTTAGAATCCACTGTGTTAATAACATTTAATATGATAAAAGAGAACAAGTCAGCAAGAAGAGGAATACTGCTGATTCCCTTAAGAATGACGAAAAGTTGCTATTTAGAAATATTCAAATTACAAAATGCTACTAAGATTTGTAACGCATCTATAATTCATGAATATTTCACTTCAGTAGAAGCAATAGAAAAATCTGTTAAATTGCAACCTGTGATTCTTTATATTTAAAAAAACGGTCAGGAAATTAATCGGAATATTTTTCTATTTGTTATATGCAAATACCCTAATTCTGTTCACTTAAGTATAATATGTTTCCGCATATAGTCAAATGACAACCACATGACATTTTCTACTTCATATCAAATACATAACAGATAATAAGAAACTGTTGGTTATGTAAATAAGTTTAGCCTAATTGTCTATTTGAGCACAAAACTAATGTTAGTTTTTTTTATATTTATTTTATAATCACATAAGATTTGCATTATTTTGCACTTACTTTATAAAGTGGTGCCTGCAGTCAGATTTATTTCAGTGTAGCATCTTCTACTGAGCAGGACTGGGTGATGGCTATGATGGCAGCAATTCCTGTTGACTATCAACAAAGTTTAATTGAATTCTCGACATCTTTGTATCGAGAATTAAATAAGACGGAAAGTGTATGTATGTCACCATATAGCATCACGGCGGCGTTTCTGTTGTTAATGATTGGAACAAGCGGACGTTCAAAACAACAGATATCATCTGCTCTTTTTCAAAAACTTTTATTTTCAGAGGAGGAAAAGTTGAAATATTACAAGTCACTGAATAGCTATATTATTCGAAAAGCTGGAGGTAATGTTAGTTTGGCTAGTGCAAATAGATTATTCGTAAACAAAAGATACACAGTACTGCAAAATGTCCGAAAGAAGGCAAAACAATATTTTGGAGCCGACATCAGTTTGAAGGATTTTACAAACTCCAAGGCAGCTGCATTCGTAATGAATAGATGGGTATCAAAAGAGACGGATGGCAAAATAAAGAATTTGATCAAAGAGGACTGGTTAAATTCAGCCACTGTAATGTTGATAATAAATGCAATTTATTTTAAAGCCACGTGGAAGAGACGATTTTCACCCAAATTGACTAGCAGACAAAACTTTCTGCTCCCTGACAACAAAACGATTAAAGTTGACATGATGCTGATAAGATCAAATGTTCTATATTTCCATGGTTTTGACTTCAATGCTATAGCGTTACCATTCAAGGGTGGAAACTTTGATATGGTCTTCATTTTACCACACGAAAAAGTCGAGCTCCAGAATATTGAAGCGAGGATATCATTGGAATTCCTATCGGAAATTTCATCTGGATTTAGTAGAGAACAACTAGATATCTTTATTCCAAAATTTAAGCTACAGTCCGATTTTGATTTAACACAAGAACTACGTAAACTTGCAGTAACAGATATTTTCGACGAAGTTAAAGCAAACTTTTCAAATCTTATTGCTGGGAAGAAACAAGGTGTGTACGTCAAGATTGCTGTTCATAAGGTTGTCTTCAACGTGAACGAAGCAGGTGTAGAGGGAGCTGCAGGTACAGGATTTGGAATTTTTCTAAGAAATAGCCCGCCACAATTTTTGGCAAACAGGCCGTTTTTGTTTTATGTAAGAGATATCAAATCCGATCTCATTTTATTTATTGGTCGATTCTATCCTCAAGTCAGATAATTTATGATCGTTATCAACAAAACAATAATACTTTTGAAGAACACTTAATACCATCAATAGCAGTTAAAGCAATTCAAGGGCCGTTATAAAATCATAATATAATTGTTTGTTCATATGAAATAAAGGAAAGTTTAGAATTAATTTATTTGAATCATATGTGATATATCCAAGAGATGAAAAGAGAGAAGCGATGCGAGATTAATGAAACGATTTTTTAAATTTTCTAGCTAGACAGGAAATCATTTTAAAGATAGAGGTTTCATGGAGGTTGTATTGCTCAACTGGAAGTTTTGCATAAATAAGAGTCAATTAAGTTAACCTATGTTCAAATCTTATAAATATGTTATAAAGATACAAATCAAAGTAAAACATAAAAACTAAAAGAATCGCATGAGGCCCAAAGGTGATTTAGGCACAAAAACTCCTATCAGGAATTGATGAACGATCTGAATCATTTTGACGTGTTAATACGCTTATTAGTAGAATATCGTTTTTGTTGATCATTTTTTATTCCGACTTTTTTCTCTATTTTCTATACCTTTTAACTAAATACTAAAACAAGGGATGAATTTGTTTTGTATGTATATTTATAAATATAAAAAAAACCTCTATACGGTGTTGGCTAACGATTCCGGCCATGCTGACTCCTCAGTTTGACAAGGAGGAGTTACCGGTCGTTGGTATGGCGGCATGACATTTTGAACGAGAAAAAAATATGTAAAAAAGGTGTAATCATCTAATTTGAGATATGTAGTAGCTCATTGTAGCTGTAGAAATATTAATCAGAATTCAAGAACACAACTGGACAGAACATTTAAACAAATATGAACAATACTCCAATTAAGACAGTTTTGAAAAGTGATCTCTCATTTAGTTCATCTTATATTTCCCCTTCATAAATACAAGTAGGTAAATTAGCAAAAACTCTGCAAGACTCGCTACTAGTCGCACAAAGGTCACAACCCAAAATGATATCCGCTCAGGGCAAGACTTTCTTCAGCTTTGGTATGTGCAGTCATAAACAACCCTCAGTTTGTTCAAGCAATAGTTCCTATGGTATTAGAAAAAGTGTTTCTAGCTATAAAATCCAAAGTCTAGAAAATGGTATCTGACCAAAGTTCAGCCATATATTGAAGAAATTGAACAAGATACATAAGCCTTAACAACATAAAATACTATCATTAATGAACAACAAGATACAATCAACAAATTGAGAACCAAAATAAATGATCTTGGAATAAGGGTTAAAGAGTAAAAACAATACTGAAGATGATCAAGTCTTCGTTTTAACAATGTCAAGATTCAAACAAATGGCAAAGGTGATATAAAAAACCCATCAATATTGATTATGCAGTTTTGAAAGTTTGCAATGAGCAATTAGGTTTTGATGTAAGTTCAAAGATAGAACGCATTCAATAGGACAGATCGAGAACGGTAAAATGTATGTAATTGTTCGTTTCTTGCCATATCGAACATGTAAAATGAACTTCTCAAACTAAAGGAAAATAAAACACAAAAGAGATAAACTTTTCATTACAGAAAAACTTACGAGATACCGCTATTGGCTCCTGAAACATTTGAATGTCCTACGATTTACTGAAAAAAATACATACTTTTTGATTCATGATGGCAATTTATAGCTAAGGAAACAGCAGAGTTTGGTTATACCGTTATCTCATGTAACCAGGATATTCGAGATATTGGATGAGAAATTTTAGAAGAGGACGATGATTATTAAACTATTTATCGCTACACGTGTACACTTGTTTACAAACTCGTCATTAAACATATTCAGTGAACTTGTGTTCTTGACAAGCCATTTTTGGTATTTTAGTTGGTTGGTTTTTTGTTAGTTTTTTGTTTTAACTTTACATCGGTCAACTGGATATTTTGATTGTCTTTATCTGTATTATTATTTTTGTTGGAAGTCCAGTTATGATATAAATTCCAATGTTTAATTTTTGTAGTGTCTGATCTTAAGTGTTCGTCCTGAAACATTTTTATATTCACACACTGAATAAACAAATAATTATAATAATAATAATAATAATAATAATAATTCTATAGTCAAGTTATAATAAATGTAGAAATTAGAAAATTTTAATAATTTTGAAAAATAGGTGCAAAATCTATATGTATAGATTGATTAATGTACATTTAATTAAAAGTAAATTTTCACCTTTTTTCCAAATTTGATGCTTGCAAACAAACATCGATTTACTGAACACAAGTGTTGCTTGTACATGTACTGTTGTACAGTTTTTATATAAAAACTCATAATTATATGCGATGTTCGTTTGACACGTTATTCTGTAAATATCGCAGGTATATAGGTATATTGTGAGTAGTTTTCATTAATCTATTATTTAGTTAATTGTTGGATAAGTTTTCGATAAGTTAAGGCAAATTAAACTTTGTAGATTGTTGTGTTAGACCTTGAAGAATATTTATATCCAGAATACTCAATTGGGTTAAGGGCTATTTATCCAGATGTAGTACGATTTGTTGTTCCAGAAGAAGTTGAAAAAGGCATAATGTGGTGAAAAAAGTTTCTTCTATTATATAATGTTATTTCAGTGATGTCAATGGAAGAATGGTCTGAGCAGGACGAAATATTCACGTCGGATATGCCTGCTTGACTGGTTGTGGTGGTATGTTCAAAGGACATTTTTTCTTCATGCTGAATTTCCTAATTCCTGATTTCATTGTTAATAAACAGCTTCACATTAATGAGTTAGGAGTGTTAACAGTAGTTGTGTGCATGAAATTGTGGGGAAAAAGATTTAAAGGAAAACCAATTGATATTAAATAAAACAATCAGGTGACAGTTACTGTAATTAACACCGGAAAATCTAGAAACGTATTTTTACAGTCTTTTTTACGTCAGATCTGTTTTGTTGCAGCTGTTAACGAACTCGACATAAGGGTAGTTCTAATTTCGTGGTTTTGCCGGAGTATGCAGACATAGAAAATTTGTCATTCGTTGAACATTTAATTTCGTGGTTCACCTGTACAACGAAATCCACGAAAATTGGTATCTAACGAATAAAAATGAATCCACAGTATTCATTTTTTAGTAGATATTTCAAATCAGTTAACGATATTAAAAATTATGTAAATGATCTTAGGACAATGTATTTGTTGTTAGACAATCCTTTTGTTCATTTAAATGAATTTGCTGTTAAATTGTTGCATAGAGGTATCACTAGGGAAAAGCAGCACTTTTCGAAACAAGCTTTAGCGATTACGGTAGATATTAACCAGATATTTATAAACTTATTGTTCATGATGATCCCAAACATTGTACTATATAGTGTTTATTTTTATTTGCCTTTTTTCTTAAAGGCACAAAAATCAAATTTAGTACTCGATTCAAGAAATTCATTTGATAAAGATAAACAGTTAACGAGAAATAAGATTATTATTGAAGATGTTGTAGCAATGGTTGTTTTAACTGGTCAAAAACTATACAGATTGTTAACCGTATTCTTAAGATACCTTTAGTAGAAAATACTACATCGGTACTTTGTCCGATTAGAGGGTATAAGAATATGCGTAGAATAATTCCAGCAGATGAAGACAGTCCAACCTTTTCTTTCCTAATAGACATACTTTAGTTACAGTCACATATACAGATTTTCAAAAGTATCTTAAGGATTTTATTTTAGAATATGTAGGAATCCACGGTTGTTTTCTATGCATAGCTTCCGAAAGGGGTGCTTCATTTGCATTTGAATATCAAGTGCCCGCAGAACTATTTCAATTTCACGGTGATTGGTCTAGCAATGCCTATAAATTGTATCTTCAGTTTTCGTTATTCAAAAAGGTCTTAGTCTTCCAGGTTATGACTAAGTTTATCCCTTAATTGCAGTTACTAAAAAGAGGTGTTGAAACTGTAATTCCATTGGAAAAAAATTGGATGGGATAAAGACACTGTTGTACAGAGTGTTTGAAGAGCAAATTCAGGTTATATTAAATAATTGTATATCATTGATACTGAGCAGTTGTATTTACAAGATATAAATAATTTTTCTCATATTATTCTGCATTTTGGCACAAATGATATACTGTGGATTCATTTATTTTCGTGGGTACCAATTTTCGTGGATTAAGGAAAACTTGCATGTTCGTGGATATTTAATTCCGTGGTTTTGCCGAAGTCTGCATTCAAGCCTATAGAAAATTTGTTATTCGTTGAACATTTTATTTCGTGGTTCACCTGTACCCAAATAAGCCACGAAAATTGGTATCCAACGAAAAATAATGCATCCACAGTAATAGTAGATCATACAACTGAAGAAATTTGATTTATAGTGTTAACATATTTTGATCTCATCTGGCATTGTCAGTTTGTTTTCGATTTATGAGTTTGAACATCCCTTTGATATGTTTCCACTTTAAAGAGAGACAAAAAAAGGAACAAGTTTGATCTGAGAAAAAGAAAATCATTCACTCCTAAAAGAAAGGTAAAAAGAAAAAAAAGCTTCAAAAAAGAGAACAAATGAAATCATTTGCTCAATCAATCTGTGGTCGGACTGGATACAATGTGGATTATGTGGCCACTGGTTTCATAAAGAATGTTAGAATATTACAGACAATGAAAACATAACCGAGGATGATTGGTACTGCATGAAGTGCAATAGTGCACCAAAACATGTTTGTAAGTTTAACTGTTTAGTTCAACCAAATTGATTAGTAAAAGTATGCTCGTTTTTTCCTTTTTTGTTGATGTTGAAAACTTTACAAGACATATTATCTTAACTTTAAAATCTAAATGTATATTGCATGAATGTTTAATTTATTCAACATTTTTCAGACTATATATTTTAGAGCTTATCTTACTACCTGGACATATAACTAATCTTTAACTAATCCTACATATATAGGGTCTAAAAATGACAACAATGACAACATGCAATCGATCTTGGCCTGGGTCAGTTTGAAAATAAATTGATGCAGTTACTGAATTACATTATATAAATGCATAAGAATGTAACTTTAACACGCGAATGACAGTTTTGAAATAGTATGTATATTTTATAGATTAACGCCATATTTCGCTAGACAAACTACCTTCATTAGACGCGTGTAACCATCGTGTTGAA